TTCGATTGTAGTCGAGATTAGGACATGATATACAACTCTTGGGTACGAGAAAATAATAGATAAATTGGAGAATTCTATTGTGTTCTTTATTTTAAATAAATTTATCTTTGAGTATTTTAGTCAACAGAAAAATATAAACGCTCATGTTTTCCAAAGCTGACTTAAAAAATATAATACCAGAATTTCAATATTAATTTATAATTTGGAGAAAATATGACAAAAAATCAAATGCATAATTTTTGTTATTGTCTCATCTTACAAGTGGGCCAAATGTGATAACTAAATAAGTGGGAATATTCGCAATTCTTGACCTCCGGACTTTTTTAAGTAGCCAAACTGTTCACCTAGGTGATGTTCCAAATTTAATTAATTTAGTTTGATATTTTACTTCAAATAGTGAGGAAAATTTGTTTTTATCTATAATAATAATATTTTTTAACACAATAATTTCTTTTATAAAACTGTTACTGGAAATAATTGCATCTTCCATTACTTGTAGTGAAATCGAGTTTTTTCTGTAACCAATGAAATGTAGATAACCATACTGGAAAGAGTGGTGAATATTACTTGCAAGCATAAATAAATATAAAATATTTTCAGTGTTATATATGCTAAAAGGGATCTCTGGAAAAATATTCACCATTCTGCTGCATTGTGATTCCTTTCTTCTATGGTTATAAATGCTTGCTGTCACAACTACTTTCAATTAAGAGGTTGTATTTATTAACAATTAAGAATTTTCTTAGTAAGTGTTCCTACATATTGTGATACTTAATATTAAATGTTATGTTTATAATACGAAACATTCAATATACATTCCCTCTAAACCAATTTGTTTCTTTTTTATGTACGCTTCAACTGTTCTTGGTCATGTTAAATAATTTTATGAAACACAAATTATAATAATAATAACAGCTTTTATTTCCAAGAGGCTACAGGAACTATAAAAATCAATACAATAAGTGCTGTATGTAAATAAAATAGACAGATGACAATACAGAAAAAATAGAAGAAGAAAAGAAACAAAAATTTTATAACTGAAATAACTAATAGCCACTACAAGTATATTATTACCATAATCTAGACAATGCAGAATTTACAATGGTAGCAAGAGAATCATTTTTTATATCACAAGAACGACATAAATGATTGAAATTCTGACACATCATATATATAGGACAATGTAACATTACGTTTGTATTGATTCCATGGTTGTAAACTGTTGCAGATTGTCTAGATTATATCCGTGGTACTAGCCAGTTAATCATTTGAAATAAAGGCGTACAATCAACAATGTTATGGACGAAGTTATATAAAAAGATTTTATTTTTCGCCTATTATTCATTGATATTTCTCCATATCTAGATAACGATACATCATGACTTTAAGAAACTTTAAAAACCGCCTTTGAACGGACTCCACTCTATCTATGTGACAGTTATATATACAGGTTGCCCCACCGGAAATTGAGTCTATCGATATCTAGGAAAGTAGTGCTCCGAAAAATTTGAAAATTTTCAAACGACTATAACTTTGTTAACTTAAATGGAACACCCTGTATTTTTTTGCTCTGTCGTATTCAGATTGAAATTTTCTTTCAAGCCATATAATCATTGTTAGGGTTGCGGTTACTACTTTTATAGATATTTGCAATTTTCTATTTTTGGTTTGTATGCGTGTATTTATGAGTATTTACTGTATAAAATATAGATAAAAAAAACGGTACGGGATAGTTAATTTTCTGACCTAGGAAAGTTATCTGTTTGGTGAAACTGAAATACTATACTCCGCGGTCGAAATTATAGAGAGTGGCTTAGACATAATATAAAAACACTATTACCATAACGCGTATAAAATATAAAATTACTTTTATAACGGTTCAATATTATATATCTTTGTGCCGCTCGCTACGCACATCGATAGAATCTGTAATTGTCTATAGATTGAGTTACACTAAACGTCGATCTATATTCTATCTCTGTCTTTTGCACTTGGTAGGGAAGAGGGAAATGCTTTTTTAGTGGGTGTAAACGGACTTGATTTACCCGTCCTGACAAACGTCATAGCATAAGCATAGACGAGGGGTCTAATTCCGTGGCTATAATAAATTTATAAATTATAAAAACACAACTGGGACGTTTTAAAATGCTGTAATAATTAAAATGGATCTAAATGCCGATTATAGCAAACCGTAGAAAATATTAAACGTTATGTTTTATTATCTTTTTTCAATATTTTCTATATCTTGTTGCCTTTTACGCAGACACGCCAATGGATTTTCGTTCCCGGCACGCTTCATCCCCCTTACTAGTCCAAAAGCTAGCGATGAGTCACTCTCTATAATTTTGACCGCGGAGTATAGAATATGGTATTTTAACGTCTGAAATTGGATCCAAAAATTTCCGAACGATTTCAGAAAAATAATTTATTTTCTACAATGTTTTTTCTTTTTTTTATTGAGTTTTAATGTTGTTTCTCTTTTTTTACTTGAATACCTACAATCCGTTTTCGTTTGGGTCCTATATAGTTACCTTCAGTATTTCAGAAACATTAATTTACAATCATCAGAACTTTAAAGTAGGATGGTTGTTCGAGTTGTTAAGCAGTGGCCTATACACCTACTTGGTCGTCGCCCAGTTACACAATTACATTTGCCTTCCCTAGCCTTAGTTATGCAAACTACGAAACGTCTCGAAAAATCGCCATTGTCTGAGGAGCGGTTCCGTCCGTAGAGGCCTTAGAACCAACCAGAATCGAAATGACCAACAGGACAGGTCTACGAAGTTCTAATAAAGGGTCTGCCCCCACTGAACCTAGCCTGAAAACAGCAAGGGAAGGAGAACAACAAAGGCCACGGCATAACAATCCGAAAAAACTTGTTCTGTCTGTGAAAGTTTTAAAACCACTAAATATTAGATCGTTAGAGTCAAGTTAATGTTAATGACTATCAAAAGGCTTTTGATAAAATTAACTATTCTGAAAGCCTTTTAAATCTTCCTGAATCTTACTTATCAAGAAGAAGGGAATTTATTGAACATGAAGAATAAAATCCATAGAATATGTCAATTCTAGGGTACCACAAGGCTCAAATATGGGTACTCTTCTATTATATTCATAAATAACCTTGAGACCGGCATTACTTTTCCAAAGTCTTGCTGATTATCTTAAAGTATATAGCTACAACTAGATCTTATAGATCATTGGTGTACAGAAATTAAAAAAGTTAACAGTATGTAAGCAACTAGAATTTATTATAATTCCAATTTCAAATTTTAAAGTTAATAATTTATAAGATCTACACTAGAATAAAGCAGCTATTTTGGTAGTCTATTTATCCATGTTGTTATTGAATATTCACAAAGAAAGTTTTTCAAATTTCTTATAAGATGATATCCACTTCTCCTACTCAAGGTAGAGGAAATTCGAGGCTTTTAAACAAATTTGATGTATTACCACTAGGAAGGAGGCAAATTATATTATGTACCTATCATTTTTGTATTAACTTTTGCTCCATGGAAATGATTGTAGTACCTACTCCTGTCAATAAGTTGCAGTTTATCTACTCTACATCTGTAGAGTGTTCCCAGCGGTGATCATGGTACCGTCGCGCAGCAATGACAGACAGAGTGGGAGTAGCGCATATTTACTATGAAATTTGGGCTCTATTCAATACTACTTAAAATAAAACTATCCAATTATATTTGATTTTTTTTTTCAGTACCTTGTACCTAAATTCTTCCGCCCTCTCTGGGATGGAAGCCGCTCATAATCAGTACCTTAATTTCATGGGTATAAAACTTATTGCAACTAATGACTACAGCTTTCTTTGATTTGTTCTTCATGATGGTAACATGATTCATTTTGCCNCAAGTTAATGTTAATGACTATCAAAAGGCTTTTGATAAAATTAACTATTCTGAAAGCCTTTTAAATCTTCCTGAATCTTACTTATCAGGAAGAAGATTGAATATGAAGAATAAGATCCATAGAATATGTCAATTCTAGGGTACCGCAAGGCTCAAATATGGGTACTCTTCTATTCCTTATATTCATAAATAACCTTGAGACCGGCATTACTTTTCCAAAGTCTTGCTGATTATCTTAAAGTATATAGCTACAACTAGATCTCATAGATCATTGGTGTACAGAAATTAAAAAAGTTGACAGTATGTAAGCAACTAGGATTTATTATATTTCCAATTTCAAATTTTAAAGTCTTAATAATTTATCAGATCTAAAATAGAATAAAGCAGCTATTATGGTATTCTATTTATCCATGTTATGTTATTGAATCTTCACAAAGAAAGTTTTTGAAATTTCCTGCTTATAAGATAGATGATATCCGCTTATATTACTCAAGGTAGAGATAATTCGATACTTTTAAACAAATTTGATGTATTATCTACCACTAGGAAGTAGGCAAATTATATTATGTATCATTTTTGTATTAACTTTTGCTCCATGGAATTGATTGTAGTACCTACTCCTGTCAATAAGTTGCAGTTTATCTATACTACATCTGTAAAGTGTCACACCGGTGGTCATGGTTACCGTCACGCAGCAATGACAGATAGAGCGGGAGTAGCACATATTTACTATGCAATTTGGGCTCTGTTCAGAGCAACATAACCAATAGTACTTAAAATAAAACAACCCAATTATATTTTATTTTATTTTTTTTTTTCAATACTTTGTATCAGTTCCTTAATTTCCTGGGTATAAAACTTATTGCAGCTAATGATTACAGCTTTCTTTGATTTGTTCTTCATGATGGTAACATGATTCATTTTGCCATTAAAAGATTATCCAAGATATAAAAAATCTTTACTATCTTGATCAACCTATTTTTTGTAACTATAAATATGAATCACTATCAATGTAGTACCAAAATTGGCTCTAACACTTCCGCTGTTTTAGAAAGTTTTCTGTAGATGTTTGGCAGTAGCTTCCATTATTGTTGTAATACGAATGAATTCTTCGACGTTATCGTTTTGTTGTAGGATACAGAAGAGGACCAAACTTGCCTGGAAGACTTCCAAGAGTGCATAGAAGAGTATCAGGAATGCTTAGACGTAGTCCACATCTGCATAGACGAAGAGAACTCATTCAACCATTCCCCTTGCACGTCGCAAGTGGAGGACTTTGGCCAAAAAGTAAAACACGCTCAAATCAACTTAACCAACGTTGATTTTTTAGAGAATAACTATTTAAACGTAAGCAAATCTAAAGGCGATGTTGGTGACAGTGATATCGATATAAGTTTTAAGAGTACGAACGACAACTACATAGAAAATTTAAATAATATTAGTGTATGCAATAACGTAGTCTTCTCTAAGGTGAACACTGTGAACAATAATCAAAACGAAAGACTTGTGAAAGCGGACAGCCTGACTCAAAGTGATAAACCCTCCGTGACGCAGTCCTCCGTCTCCGAAAAGGACGGGTACGAGACGTGCGTGGACGATTCTTTGTCGGAGGACAACGTCCGTACGATAAAATCCAAACAAAAACAAATTTCATTCGAGACTGAGTTGAAACATGGCAGCGATAACCTCAAAGTACAAAATAGTAACATAAAAATCGAGCACAAGTTAGAATTTAATGACAATGAGGACTTAACACCAACTAATTCTAAAGTCGACATTCTGGACCAATTTTTTGTAGATGTTTCCGAAGCCAATCTGAAAACTGCTTGTACATCAGGTAAACCCAAACTGTATTTTTAGATATAGAGATAGTACTCTTCACCTCCACAATGTGTTACAGAAATACAAAGCATTCATAAATTCATTTATACAAGCCAGGTGTCCGTCGGGGATAGGCAACCAACAACAACTGATTGATTTGAAATATGTACGATTTAATATTGAAGCAAAAGAAACAATTAAAAAAAATGGCAACAGATGAGCTCAAACAAAAGACGCCACTGAAAAATGCACAAATATAAATTTAACGTCGTCGGTCATAATGATTCGTTTACAATAAACAGTAACAAACTATTACGTCTACACTGGAGATAATCCGATCGCAGATTGGTTGAATAAAATGTCATGAAAACTTACACCAATCACGAGCCAATAAAACGAAATGTTGCGTTTTAACGTAGTCTTGATCTTATTGTTTTAATAATTTTTTATTTTACTAGAATTTAATTGCCAACGCAAAGGAAATAAACTTACTAGTTCAAACTACTCACGTGGCTTGCAATCATTGCAAAGGGGTCATGATTTGGCAGTAACTTCGTTTGAAGAGGGTGCCACTTATTATATGAAGAACACGGATGCTTATTTCTGTCATTATTTCAGAGAATTTTATTTCCATCGCGTTGGTAATCAGATTTTGGTAAAATAAGGAATTATGAAAACAGTAACCGGCTGATTGGTGTAATTTCTCACAACATTTTGTTTAACTAATCGGTGTTAGCATTATCTTGAACGTAAACCCAATAGTTTGTTCATCATCATTGTTCATTATAAATGAATCATAATATTGATCACGCTAAGATCTAGGATTATTTAGTTGACAGTAACATTTGTGCAATGTTGGTTGCCTAAGCTCGGCTGCCACATGCCTTGTATAGCAACTGTTTCCAAAAAAAAAATATTTGGAAAAAGGTTGGTGCTGAATATAAGAAATTATTAATAAAGATTTTATTAATAAGAAAAGCCATTTTTTAACCAATAAGAGACTAAGATTAAATAAATAATGATATAATGAAAAACGAATTACAATGTAATGGAAAAAATCAACAAAACCCTGTGCTATTAGTTATGTATTTTTCATTTCACATTTGGAACACCTAACTTTAAAATAATTCAAACTATAGCATTTTAATAATGTTTTCTGTTGTTGATTTAATTGAGATAAATTTTTCATGCATTCTTATATTTTATTTATTATTTTATCTTAAAAAAAGTGTTAAAATGGTTATTAACAATATTTCAAGGTAAAAATTGTAAACAGATTAGAATTTCTCTTTCCAAAGTACCACCCCCGGTTATCAAATTTCTGAGATCTTTAAAAAATATATAAAAAATTAAAAAAAACATTGCCACTCTCTATCTAGGCTATCAGTTTATTTTGATACAAGGAAACTGCTATCAACGTACGACCCTTCGATACGAAACACCCTGTATAAAATGAAATATAAACTACAGATACGTACGTACAGAGTGTTCGCAAATTTCACCGACAACGTTTGACTGCATATTCATGTCGATAAATAAATACGATCTACGAAAAAAAGGTTAAATAAAAACTTTTTGGTTTTTAAGTTACAGGCCCTCAAAGTTGTCAAAAATAAAACTAATTAAATTAATAACTTCATAACTCTCTTACCGATCGCGTTAAAATTTGGCACATTTATTTGGACTATTATGGCGTATTATTACTTAAAGCTTTAGTCAAATCGATATACTGGGTGACAGTTTTCTCCGGTTACGTCTCCCTTTTAGCGGTCAAAACTTTTACAGTGGTCGATTTTTTTTAAAACGGACAGCAACACTGAAAAGTTCGTTTTATTTAAAAAAAAGTTGTCACTTGAGAAAATCGTCTACAGAAAGCCATTCTTAAGAAAAATTGCATTATTTGCAAGTCTCTATGTCTATGTATTAGGATTCTTTTCACTCCACACATGCAAATTATGAAAATTTACAACATCGTGTTAAATTAAAATCGGTTAATAAACAAAAAAGTTATTGCATTATTGTAAAAAAATTGCCAATTTTTTTGATTTGTTTATAACTATCGCATTTATTTTTAAAATTTTATAAAACCTATGACAAGTTGAGGGTTTTGTCATTTTTTAATGTGTTTATAACTATCGCATTTATTTTTAAAATTTTATAAAACCTATGACAAGTTGAGGGTTTTGTCATACTTTAAAAGTGCGCCAAAAGTGGGCGCTGTAGGTGCAATAGTTTTCGCACAATTCTNTATATATATATATATATTGTAGGTTTACTGAACGATTTGCTCAATATTCTGCTTTGAAAGACTGAATGCTATGAACAATATCAAAATTGCTATGTAGAATAAATATGTTGTCATAGAAACGTAAATTTGACAGATGTAACGCTATTGTTGTACTCTTTTGAAAATGGTGTATACCTAGAGTGTTGGTCAAAAAAATGATATTGTTGAATGCTATCTTTCTTGTGAGAACAATGCCATGCGCACTAGACGCGAGTATGCTCGAAGATTTCTCGCAAGATGTAAAATATATATCAAATATATTTGTAACAAATGGAGAAATACTGTTATGGTAAAAATTAAGGATAAAAGAAATAAACCCCACAACGTTCTAATTGAAAAGAAATGCAAGAAATAATTTTACTTTACTTCCAAGTAAACCCAAAACATTCGATTCAACAACTATTACTACTACCACTGTTACTACTACAATTACTACTACTATACTTAGTTAAACTAAGTATCATCAGCGTCACCAGTACCACTACTACTATGACCAATGTTTGATATTGCTATTATTTATTTTTATAATTTATTAAATTCTATCTTGTGGACTGATCAGGCCACTTTTACAACAAGTAGTGTTTTTAATAGAAGGAATTCATATCACTGGACTTTAGTAAATATTTGGTGTGGTATCGAGATACCGTCATTGGTCTAGTATTTTATGAAGGCTCTTTGAATGAAGTGAAATACATTGAACTTATCAGAGGAGTAATATTTAATTTAGTAAATGCCCTTGATGTGCAAATATTGTCTGGCAGCAAGAAGAATATTTCCAGCTCCAGACAATACTCAGCACAGAGAACAAATGCCGTTAAGCAATACCTAGACAATATTTATATTGACTGGATAGGTGCCAAAGATACAATTTTGCTTCCCCAAAGTCCAGAATTGACCCCTATGGATTTTTTCTCGGGAGTACTCTAAATAATAGAGTATATCAAGAGAGGACAAATAATGTAAATCACCTGAAAGAAAAGATATCTCAAGAAATTCATATTTTAAATGAATTTGGTCAAGTCAAGTTGCAGTCTTTGTCTTCCATATGATAATTGAAAATAATTTATGTACTCGTTAACAAACTCTTTTTCTTATGACTATTTATTTAAAATAGAGCATAAATCTAATATTATAATTTTATTTTCCATAGCAATTTTTAATTTGCCCATTGCGAGATTCAGTCTTTCAAAGCATAATATTGAGCAAATTGTTAAGTAAACCCACAACATTTATATATTTTTGGAATCATGAACAAACAGAGATTCCGAAAATCGAATAATGTACAGGGCGTTCCATTAAAAAAAAACATAAGTTTAGTTCGTATCGCCCTGTCTAATTTCTGTTTTCACAAACTCATTAAACTCGTAGAATGATTTCCTACAACTTTTATTTTAAGTATTTTTGTCTAACCCAAAAAATAAAAAGTTAAGGGGGGTACAATGTTATATGAATTACCCTGTACAGTATTTTAATAATGTTTTTCATTGTTGATTTATTTTTTGAGATTAATTTAATGTATTATTATCTTTTATTTATTATCTTATTAAAAAAAGTGCTAAAATGGTTACTGTTATTACAAGATTTCAAGGTAAAACACAAGTTACCTACCTACATTAAAATTGCAAACAGATTAGAATTTCTTTTTCCAAAATACCACCCCCGGTTATCAAACTGAGATCCTTAAAATATATTTAAGAAAATAATTGATCCAAGGAAACTGCTGTCAACGTAGAACCCTTCGTTACCAAACACCTTGTATAATAGTTTTTTTGTTGTAAATTTCGAATGTGTCAGGTTCTAGTTCATTTTCCTTGACTTTCTTTGACTTCGAAGCATGCTTTTACTTTATTTTATTTGAATCTTATTAGCAAGATTACAGTAAATAAAGATTATTTTCACATATACCAATATCTTTTGTAAATCTATGTGTTGTGATACCAGTTACATCAAGAGTCAATTAAACTGCAGAAATTGAGCTTTCCAAATAAATATAAAATTATCTGCAGATATATTAATCGTTTGATTGATCTCAGATAACTGTGGAGAGAACAACTAGATACGTCAGTACTGGAGATTCTAGTTCTTATGGTGGTCTTTGCTGAACTCTTAATTGGATGAAAACATGTTTAACATTTATCTCTAGTATTTTAATTTTTATAATCACAGCTTCATATCACAATTGACAATATATTTGTTTTTCCTCTCAGTTTTTTTATAGTAAGGTACCGAAGTGTGAGTCAACAACAATCGCTTGAATGACGCGGCACTTTAGTGTTTATACACAGGGTATTAAAATAAAGTGTTCACTCCGATCGAACCACTCCTACGCCCAGCGGTCGCGACCGAACATTTATTACACTTTCAATGTTTATACCTTCCTGTATACTAAATTCTACATATGCTATTCTACATTCCCATTCCCAATTGCAATATATTGTCAATTACAAACATATATTTTCTGATTTCATTTAGTTGCCGTTTCTGAGCCTTGTTTGAACGTGGAGTTTTTTCCCAATCGCCGTCATCTCTATTTGGACACTAAGCTAGATGGCGGCTTAAAATCCTACGACAACCAGTCCGAAGACCTAGGTGGCGACGAATTCTTCCTCGTCCAATATCCCACAGACGTGCACAAAGAGGTGTGCAAAAGTATGAGCGAACCTAACGTCCTAGAAACCTACGAGATTCCAACGAAAACTACCTACAGGAGATGTCTGAAGGAGTACTACAATGACTACGCCGACTGTATCGAGGCTTACAGGCTGCACCAGGACAGTTTCAGCAAACACGGGGTGCAGCAGGAAATGGCCGACGACGATATTTTTAACGAAATTCTTTTGCCTTTTAAGAGCCGATCAGCTCCCGACATCATGGATAGGTCTTTTGTCATGCTGACTTATGACCCGGGGCCTGATATTGGTAGGAGGAAATCTGCTTTTGTACCTGGATATCAATGCTCTGAAAGGTAAGTGTTCTGAACAGAATGTAAGTACCCTTGAAGGATTAAGAACCCCTGATTTATCTTTTTTTATAAGAAGAAAGAAATAGTTCTTGGAAAGAACAGAAATTGAGACGTAATCATATGATATTTGATCAAATAGTAATGAATTGTTAAATTTCTCAGAAAGTACTTTACCTTCAATGTTTATCCCATTCCCTACAAAATAGAACCCTTGTACAGGGTGTTAATGAACTGACGTCAAATATTATTGCCATATGTCCGTTATGTCAAAATGAGGTAAATACATGCACGGATTTGTGTTGAGTAAAATGTAATTTTAAAATCTGACTTACCTCAACATTGCAAGGAGCCACCTTTTGAGAACTGCTGATTTTCATAGAAGATGTTCGATGTACCTATCCACCATTTGCTTGCACACAAGCTTCAGCGCGACGTATCCAATTCGCTCGTATGCGTCATCCCAACATTGCCACATCCTCTCGAATCGTATTACAAGCTTCGGCTATACACACTAATGTAGTATTCATTTCACTGATACAATGTCGCAGTTAGTCGACGTCACGAACTTCCGTAGAATACACAACACTTTTCACATATCCCTACATAAAGAAAGGCCAAAGGGGCGTGGTCCGGGGACTGGGGGGGCATGGGTACAAATGAGCTTCCCGTAATGTCCGCCACACAACAGGATGCGAAATATTGACTTTTGGTGCGATATTGCTGGTGTGAACCATCTTCGACGAGATCTAAAATCATCTCGCGATTGCTAAATAAATGCGCCATTTTCAAAAGAAAACTTGGAAATACGGCTATTAAATCTCGAAGAAAAACAGCACAGCAATCACTACAACAATGTATTACAAACTGACTTTCGAATACAGTCCAATTTCATAAGAAGCCTACAAACAAGTAAAAAGTGTTACAGAATTTTTTGTAAGTACTCGCCGCGATAAAATACATGTATTTCAGCAGTTCCAAAACAGTTTTAAACACATTTTTAATTAGCTTTTTTCTCTATAACCTTAAACTTCCGATACAAGTCTGTGACATCAGTTAACTCAGTTTTTGCTCCTTTTTCACCCCTTTCAATTTTTGACATAAGTTCATTAACACCCTGTATACTTATGAGAACATAGTTTCCATTTTGAAACAATGAATTAATTCAAAATGATCACAAATACAAAAATTTTATAAGGGAAAATTTTTCTTAATAAACCCCTTATCTGTAATACAAAAAAGAGAAGCTATATCAGGATCCTCGACAAAAATTATGAACAGCTTAGTTCAAGGGAGGTATTATATTTCTCAGTTGTGTTCATCCAATTAGTTCGTTCATGTAAAATGAATATTGATACACCCCGTATATTTTATTATTAGTTCTCGCAATTTTACTTAATTTTAAATGTGTATCAGTGCTTGGATGCTAGTAAGTATGTGGTTTCACTTTTGTTTGATCTCTCCAGGGCGTTTCACACTGTCGATAAAGAGATCTTGAGCCAGAAATTATACAGTCTGGGCATAAGAGGTAGCATGCTTGCATGGCTGACTTCATACATGGAAAATAGATCTCTGGTAGTCAATATAAACGAGGAAAAATCGGATATATATGCGGTTGCACTTGGAGTGCCTCAGGGTTCCGTACTAGGTCCATTACTGTTCATGATTTTATAAGTGGTAAATTATGCTAACTGTGGCTTTTTATTGTCACTATCGATGTATGTTGTTCTGTTCTTTTCTTTTTAGTATACTTGACTTGCCATATGTACAAATGTGTATCTTTGCCTGGCCAAAAATAAAATAAAATAAATAAATAAATAAATAAATAAAGATAAAAAATATATATTCCGAGATCACATATCACAAAGCGCGAAACAAAAATTTAATGGAAGTTTCTAAATGTTCACTAGAAGCCCCGATTCCCACCAAGCACCATTAGCGGTAACAAATGTTCCTAATAGAGTACGCTACTGATTGCTGAGGTACCTGTGAAAACGCAAAAGTACGAAAATTCTCGTCACTTCCGATTTTTTGGAAATTAAAACCGTTTTGAGACCACCACAGGACCACTGCAGATCCAGCCTGTACTGTGATCGAACGTCAACCCTTTTCCCTGCAGCTAATTAACCAGGCACGAATACCTAGCTAGTACACTAGTACATTCCAAAAATTTTGCGTTTGGATTATATACAGCTATTATATCTCATTTATTGTAAATTATCTTAAAATTCTAATAAATCACACAATTTTTATAAAATTCATGCGTGTTAAAAATGTTCACAAAAATTTTGACGAGCCTACGCTCCCGGTCTAAACCTTAGCTCTAGTAGCACATACAGTCCAGGAGTTTGGAAGTCTGCGACGAAGATTTCGAGGGAAACAAGTTCTATTAGCTTCCAAATCAGGTACTCCAAGGAGATCCCAAAAAAATAAAGCTCTTAAAGCTTCCGATCGAAGTACCCTCAGGGGATCTCATAAACATTTAGTGCTTAGGAAAAACCATAAAGACAGTGATAATATACACCAGAGTAGATATTCGCAGAGCCAAATAAACAGAACTACAAAGGAAAGAAGAATATTGACATACCAAAGATGTAAAGTGAGAGGATTGTCAATCAACCCCATAATAGCGGTAAGGAGGTAGAAAACTACTTGCGGCATGGCGCCCAACGTGGGGTCCTAATGTTCGAAATGCTAAGGGATAATAATCAAAATGCACGATAATAGAAATAAGAAGTAAACAGGTATTTATCATATTAAACTGGTTGAAGCTTCCTATGATAGTTTTAATAAAGTCACTACAGTCGTCCATTCTTTTACATATATCAACTTCAAATCAAACATTTTTTCTCTAAATTTGTAAATATTTTTATAACTTTTTTGGTGATATCGTGTCTATTTTTAATGGTCATTCCCCAAGTAGCTATGTATACAAATTAAAGTACCTAATAAATAAATTAAATTTTTCGAAGTATGTATCCGTATCCTCTATCAGTACATAATACGCTTGGAACAAAATAAGTAGCCAATTTTTCTTAACAAAATGATGTCACCACCAATAGAGGGTAAGTGAAACCCTATTAGGCGACTATAATCTTGTTAAAATAGCGGAACAAGTAATGGGATCAGTAAGTTTATTGGGACAATCTGAATACTTCATTATTAATATTATTTGAGCATATTAATTGAAAGCAAACATATTTTTACATTAAACCACATTACATATAATTAATAAATATGTTTATAAATATTTTTTATAAGTGTATGTTTTTATTAAATCTGTTGTATATTTTTTTATCAGTTTGATTTATACGTTACTTTAAAAGTACTAAGATCAATCGTAATGTTGCAAGTCTTTATTGAAATCAGTCAATCAATCACAACATAAATTTTCAAAACTTATTTCTGTATATAAAAAGAGAGATAATAGGAACAGAAAATTATAGACCTATCACTAATATAAACAAGTTTTTTGAAATGGCACTACATCTCCCAACATTTGCTTACGTAAATAATAAGTTAACAGATTTATCAACATGGATTTTATAAGGGTCTTCAACAACTAATCTTTTCTGTATAACAAAGCTCATGTCAAAAGCTTTTAATGCGAGTTCACAGGTAGACGAATATATATATGTATGCATTTGGCAGGCTTGACCATGTACTTTTACTTTCTAAGTTAAGTAAAGTTGGATTTTCTAAAAATATGATAGAGCTTTTAAGGTCTTATTTAAGTAATCGTTATCAGCACTTTGAATTTTGTGAGTCGCAATCGGATCATTTATACCTCCATCAGGCGTACCTCAGGACTCGGTGCTGGGGCCGTTGCTTTTCGATATACAGGGTGTTAAAAAAAGAGTATAAAATATTTCAGGAGGTAATAGTACGAACCAAAATAAGCAGAAAAGTCTTAATAAACATGGGTCCGCAAAGTAACGGTTGCGGAGATATGGACCACTATTCGTTTTTCAAACATTTTATTTTATTAGGAATAAACCGACAAAGGAAGCTTTTAACAAACAAAAAACAAAGTTACAGAAGATGTTCAAAGTGCCCTACGTCCATTTCCAAGCAGGCACGACATCTTCGTCTCAACGATATTCGAACTCTTTCGAAAACATGCTCCTTAGTTTGGATTTCTTGACACTTTTGATTAATCCGTAGCTGCAGCTCTTCCAGGCTATTTACAGGAGTACCATACACTAATGTCTTCAAATATCCCCAAACAAAGAAATCTAGAGGGATCAGATCAGGCGATCTTAGAGGCCATAAAACAGGTCCGGCCCTTTCTACCCATCTATGTGGAAAAGTTTGGTGTAAATGCTCTCTAACGGCCATGGAAAAATGAGCTGGAGCACCATCATGCTGGAACCACATTTGTTGCCTCTGATTCAAAGGAATGTCTTCCAAAAACTCATACAGTGTGTTCTGCAGAAAGAAATGTTTAATGAAAAACGTGCCTGATGTCCAGATTCTATTAGAGCATGAGGATTTTCGTCGGCCCAAATATGTGTATTGTGAAAATTAAACACTACATTTCTTGTAAACCCGGTCTCATCAGTAAAAAGAATGTTTGCAAAGAAAACGAGGGTCTTCAGCATCATGACGTAGAAACCAGCGGCAAAAAACCAAACGTGCTTGATGATCATTTATTGGATTTAAGGCCTGTACTCGTTGCACATGGTATGGATAAAGCAGTTGCTCGTGAAGGATTCTCCAAACAAGAGGACCACTAATTCCTACCTCGGCTGATATTCTCCGCATACTCCTACCTGGATTCTGCTCTACCAGTGCTAGAATTTCTTCTGCTCTAGGAGTGGATACCGACCTTGGTCTTCCGAATAAATGGCACTGTTTGCTCAAGGAACCAGTATCACGCAATCTTTGGTGAATTCTTCCAAACATGCGTTGTGAAGGAATCTGGCGATTTGGATAAGCGTCAACATAAAGACGTCGCGCTTCGGTGGCATTCCCATTAGCACGACCATACATGAAATGCATGTCTG